CCAGTCCACTCGGTCGCTCCCCGCAAAACGCTCTCGGACAAGCCGGTTCAGCGGCGATCGTCATGGACACGTCCAGTCAGAGTGCCAGTTTGACTCAGGCTTCCTCAGGAACAAACTCTGCCTCCCTTTCCGGTTTCATCAGCAGTGGCGAACAATTGCAGCAGCGCACAGCTCTCACATGGATTCGGGCATTTGTTATGTTAGATCCCAAACATTTATTGCCGTTTGCGTCCGGGATTATCGGGGCTGTGTTGCCATGTTTTGTGATGGGTGGGGGTGCAGATGGTGTGAAGGATCGAAAAGGTGACCTGTTAAACCCTTTTGCTCGATTTCTGTTTATTGTGGTAGAATTATCAAAGTTTTGCCCTGGCTTAATGCTAAAGCTGATCGTTGCATCATCCTCAAAAGTCGTTGATATAGCTCTGCTATGTTATTCAGAAATTGTCTGGTAAAAATTACCTACTCGGAGGAGAATTAATACAGCCACGGACTAAGGCACAACAAAGTTTACTCCTCATTTGCTATCAGCCTGCAGTTTATCATTTGCAAGTATATTCCCGATCCTGTCGGTTAGTCACCTCGCACATACACATGTGCGTCTGACGGACCTTATGTTGAATACTGCCATTGGTTCAACCCGTCAATTGTGTGTCCTAGATGAGGCGTCCGCAAATCGCCAAAACGCCATACGGCAAGATCCGCCCCGTTGATAGTTTGCAATAACGGATTTGATAGCTCATGGATCTTGGTTATAAGTTAAACTCTGTTCCCAGTTGTCTGTTTCAGTTTATACCCTTTGTTTTTTATCCACATCCATCTTATCTACCGTTTACTTCCGGGTCTGAAGTGTTGTTCAACTTACATGGCTGCCCCAAAACTNGCCTCCCTTCAAATCCTTTTCTCACATGTAAAAGATGGAACGCGCACATGTGCTTTATCCATTTACTACCATTGAATGTGGTGCATCTTCTGGTTGATTGTAGGCACTCTTAACACCAGTACATGAACCTTATTGTTCTCTTATTCATTTTACTCTGGAAATTGCATTCAATTTTCAGTTTATGATTTAAATACCTTGGATTCGGGTAGTAAATAAGTTGTAGCCGTTCGAGCTCCTGACATCGGATTGTACTGTTCCGCGATTTTACTCATTATCATACACATATGGGCAGCGATATGATGTGTGGGCGTTCAAAGTTTGAGACCATTTAATGTCGTCTCTGCGCTGATTTCTTTTACTTCTTCTTTCTATGCGCTTCTAATCACCTCCAATTTGCATGTTCACAGTACACCGTGTTACCGCCCTCAGGCGATGAAAGAGATTTGTTCTTGTTCACATAAACCAACCAGACACGCCGTGTTGCTGCTTTGTCCATTATTCTTTTTCACTCCCTCGTTCTGGTGACAGCAATTCTGGAAACCGCTGTACGCATCAACGAAACGTTGTTGACGTTTGTAAGTGAAGCAAACGATCTTCACGGAAATGGAACGAGTGAGAATCGGGAGTCGACACCGCGTTGCGTGTCTGCTTCCCCGTTAGAGCAGTCCACGTCGAACTCAATCACCGAGTTAGTTGACAAGTTTGTTCTAATCGCACATGGTGATCATCGTTTCTCTTTTTATCCTTGTTTATTGGTTTATCTCCAGGGTTATGCCGTTAAATTTTAAACATTATTGATTAAGTTCTTCATCCATTCTATCGTGGGCATATAAGATGAGTATTGAATGGATTGTTTATGATGTCGTAAGTCGATCGATCGTTCTCAGCAGTAAGCACGTCGCTTTGGGTACTCCTTCTGTGATCTTTTTGAACGGATATTTTGTATATGAGAGGAGTATAGGATTTCGTTTGATTATATGATCAATTCACCTCCAAATGCCTCAGTATGTTCGGGAGTGGGTGTCTCGAACTCCTCTAGAAATGCTCCCGAACAGTCAAGCGCCTCCAATAGCTTCTGCCGAGGAAGTCCTACCCACCTTTTTACATCAGTTGTAATTGTGAAAATACCGCGATGTCGGTACAGGTGAAAATAAGCCGACGTTTCGGTTATCGTTGGTAACATTTATCAAGGCGATTTTACAATCGATTGTAACATGTCAAACTGGTTTGGCTGGCGCCAGTACATTTTAGAAATGCTTAGGAGTGTGAAGTTCTGGGAAACCAAGGCGTCGGGTGTACCGGATCCTAATTTGAAAATGACCATACGCGTTTGGATTGACCGTTTTTGGAAGGACTTCCAGTTTACATGAGAGGTACGGTGTTAGATGGCGACGAAGTTCTGTGGACGAAATGAACGAGTTCTTGAATCGATATGTTACAGTGACCAGTTGCTGCTCTGTTCTGATTTCCAACATGGATACTGCAAGATGATAGCGGCAGTCCACATCACTCTCGGATTACGTACCAATAGAGACTACGTCGAGGCATTGTCCCTCTATCACACACTCTGTTTGTCAGTCTGTTTGCCGGATTTCAATTTGATGGTTGGCATTTAGGGCTTCGTGAGCAGAGAGATAAACGAAGACAGATACTCCGAACTTTAAGAGTTTGAGTGAGGTTTGGACGAATGAGAAGAAGTGCCGCAGGACTGCGTTCAGAAAGTCACCACTGGCATCCATTTTGAGTTGACAAGGTTGTGAAGCGCAGAGGTACTGACTTACTTGGCTTGTTTATCCTGAACAAGTATTGCGAACGTTATAGGTAAACCCTTAAAGTTCAGTATAGGCAGCCATCAGGGAAGTTCACTTCACTGTATCTTGCTGTACGATGATGACGATAATGACCATATGAATGTGACATCGTTTTTGTGCCTTGGGGTGGAGAAATTATTGGTGGGCATATGTATGATCAAAGCAGCTTTAAACAGGACCCAAGCCAGGTTGGTCCTCACATGTACACTGTTTACATGCGGGAAACTCTAGGGTGAATACTTGGGGCAACGTCGATGAAACAAATTGGTCAGTTATTTCTGCAGCCTCATGTATCTAGATTGTGATGAATTAGTTAGATAGCCGGTCCACACTGTTCCTGAAGGAAGTGTTCACTGTATGCTTATAAACCAAGAACTCTAAGGTTAGTAGTGAACCAAATGTTTAAAAGAAGATTCAAACAACTCGTACAGTCCGCAGAAGCTTAATGTTCTTTACTCTATCTTATCGCTCGAGCAATTTTCGTTGCAGACTGGAATCCATGCCAACCAGTAATATCAATAGTGTTGTGAATTCACAAGTAGTGCTGGGTTGACGAATAATCAAACCAAGAGGAAACTACGGAGAGCTAATTCGGCAACAGAGAATAAATAATGTTACTTGAAACAGAATAATTGTTCTCATATGAGTGACTCCGGATTGGTGCTCAAACGGTTTGTTCACGGGTTCGGAAGCTCAACATCACCCATCGTTCTGTCACGCTGGGA